AGTATAGGTCAAATCAGAAAGCAGAGGACAGGGTAGAGATGAAAATAGGTGAGTGCAACTCAGCTCAGAACGTGAGTTTAATTGAGATTCCAACTGCCTCTCTCCCCTGCATTCCTTTGTCCCTGGCTACGACCAAGTTCATGGCTCTGTCGCCCCCAGTAATCCCTGTAATGGGCTGCAATCCGGGGGGAGCTGTTTCTGTTTATTAGTGGCCAACCTCTGAGTCACATGGAGTGAAGCCAGCTGTGGCTTCTTGCCCTGGGAGCTGCTGGGCCTCTTTTCTGTTTTAAAAAATAGGAATCTCCCAGGAGAGAGAACAGGGACAGCTGGCAAGGACCGGGGAAGAGTGGGAGACATAGAGGTGATGGTGCTGGAAGTGCGGGCCCCTTCCAGGTCACGAGCTCTTTCAGAGTAGAATTCACCTGTGTACTGTCCTTGCGATGGCAACTAGTTTATAGGACTTCAGTGGAGTTGCAGGATGATGCCACCAGGGTGGACAGGTGGGAGAAGGGATGAGGAGACCAAAAGGGGACAATAGACAGAAGGTGGTGAATAAACAGGGCGAGGAAAATAGCAGAGTGGATTTCCCCGGGGGTCAGGAATTAGAGCAGTGGTTCTCAACCTTCTGGCCCTTTAAATACAGTTCCTCAGTTGTGACCCAACCATAAAATTATTTTCGTTGCTACTTCATAACTGTAATGGTGCTGCTGTTATGAATCGTAATGCAAATATCTGATATGCAGGATGGTCTTAGGCAACCCCTGTGAAAGGGGTCGCGACCCACAGGTTGAAAACCGATGAAATAGAGCTTCAGACCCCAGCTCTGCCCAGAGCAGTTCCCTCGAGCCAACTGCTTCTTAGAGTTGGGACAACATTGCAACAGCTGCTGGTTTAGAGACCATGTCCCCTGGCTCCCGCATCTGCCCTCTGGGTAGAGTTGTGTGAAGCGGAAGACAATTTGGGGCTGATTAGTGTCCCAGGGAGACATGTAACTTGTGTTGCTGGGACCCAAACGGCAAGAGTCTTAGCGGCAAACTCCAGCCGAGAAAAGACTGAGGAATTGTCTCACCTAATTACAGGGAATGGCCCTCTTTGTGTTTGTGATTCTGTACGGTTGTCCGATTGCTTTTCTCCATTTGCTGGCTCAGGCCACGCTGGAATTGTGCTAATTAGAAGAGAAATGGACAGAGTGATCCTGTCAGCCCTGGTTACTGGTGGGGACAAAGCGGAATATTATTCTGAGGCAGTGTTTTGTGAGGGCCCTTCTTCCCGCTCTCATTAGGAGGGAAGGTTCCGAATGCCTGGCCTGGCTAATGGAGCATTGGGGTGCTCGTGTGCTAATTAACAGGCTCGGCCAGCACTCGCCAACCGGGAGCCTCACGGTTGCACCAGGTGCCACCTGAAATCCCCACCATCCCCGCTCATGAAGAAAACATGTTGGGCAAAGGGTGGGAAGGCCAGTGGCCTCTTTATTTTTATTTTATTTTTGTTAATCCTCACCCACAGATATTTTTTCCATTGATTTTTAGAGGAGCGGGGAGGGGTAGAGACAGAGAGAAACATCGATGTGAGAGAGACACATCGATTGGTTGCTGCTTGCACGTGCCCCGACCAGGGCTGGGAATCGAGCCTGCAACTGAGGTACGTGCCCTTGACCGGAATTGAACCCAAGACCCTTCAGTCAGTGGGCTGACACTCTACTACTGAGCCAAACTGGCTACGGTCCGTGGCCTCTTCAGGCATAGTCAGGGGTACATCCCCACAGGCCCCAACGTCACTAGACAGGCCAGTCAGAACTTACAAACTTGGAAAGACGACTGTTTGCCGACTCTCTGAAGGTGGGGGTTCCTCGGGTGAAGTGGAGCCCATGCGGGGCTCAGGTAGTCCTGCAGCTCTCAAAGGATGAAGAAAACAGAACAGGAGAACGTAACCAACGCTTGGAGATGGGGTTTGTGCAGAAGTTGAGAGCTGGTAAGAAACCATGTTATCTGACCCCTGTGACCATTCACCTTGGCCCGTCTGCCAATTTCCCCACTTCCTGCTCTGCCAGTTGACCTTCCTGTCATGCTTCGATCCTGGAGGAAACAAAAGGGACCACAGCATTCCATCAGGAGTGATCCTGCCTTTATTACAAAGCTCCTTCGGAAGTCCAAACACCCTCTGGAAGCCACAGGGGCAGTGGAAGACACTGGAGCTAGAAGCTAGCTCTTAGAAGACAGGAGCCACAATAAGCTGCAGCTGGAGCACCCAAGCCAAGGAGCAGATAGCAAGTATCCACTTTAAAAATATGGTAAGTGGGTAACAAAAGGGAAAGAAAAATTAATGATGGCATTGTGATATCAATACAACTGATATCCTGTGAACTTTCAGGGCTCAAACAGTGGAAGAAAAGCCAAGCTAATCAGCAGAGGCCTCAAATCAAGAGACTGAGGTGCAAGAAGCAATGAGACTGCTGGTGAGAAAAGTTTTAAGAATTTAAAAATGTGCCTCGCCCTAGCTGGTTTGTGTTGTGCCCAGATTTCAAGGTTCCCAGGACCCCCAGGGAGCCCGTCAGTCCGATGCAAAAGCAAAGAGTCCTTCATTTCGAACTAGTTCGGCTCCCCGACCACACTCACCGATGCAACGGTAGCCCAGTGGCCGAGAGAGAGCGAGGCCTGATGGGATTGTGGGTTTTATAGTAAGGGCAGGGGAGGGGACTGTGGGCCCCGACGATTGGCCAGGCGCGAGTCGGGTCTTGTTACACAGGATGTGGTCATCTCTACGGCGCGCACGTCCCTTGATTGTCATTGGTTAGTGTAAGGAAATCCCGGACGTGGCCAGCAGGGGCCTGGGCTTCCGGGAAGAAGGCACTCTCCTGAGCACATGGTGGCCGCCCCAAAAATGGAGGACCCAGGGCAAGATGGAGGGCGCAGTCCTAGCGCGCCCCCCCCCCCCCCCCCCCCCGGGCAAGTTAGCCCGGGCTCCAGGGGCCAGTCCAGTTGCCGGGGATCCAGCAGATCGACCAGTTCCAGCCCAGACAGGAAGTCCACGTCCTCCGTCTCGTTCCTGGGGGCGCCGGCGATCGCCTCCTCCTCCATCTCCTCGGGCGAGGGCATGCGCCCTGCCCTGCCGCCGCTGCTGCCGCGTGGGTCCGGTCCAGGGGTGGCGGGCGGGTGGCGGCCTGCGCCAGGCTCCCACCGTGGGCTGGGGAGTCGGTGCCCGAGGCCGCCAGCAGCGTGGTCAGGCTGTGCCTCATGGGGCCCGGCGGCCGGCCCACGTAGGCCCCGCGACGACTCGCCCTTTCAGTTTGGTTTAGTGGATAGAGCATCGGCCTGGGACCGAAGGGTCCCGGGTTCGATTCTAGTCAAGGGCACATGCTCAGGTTGCCGGCTTGATCCCCAGTAGGAGGTGGGCGTGCAGGAGGCAGCTGGTCAATGATTCTCTCTCATCACTGATGTTTCTTTCTCTCTTTCTCTCTCCCTTCCTCTCTGAAATCAATAAAAATGTGCTGTAAGCACCAACCAATATGCTGCAAGTATGATATTCAGAAAACACACTTGTGGGCAAATAATAATTAGTTATTGGAAAAATAACCTCAAAGATTTAGACCAGAACATTCACACGCTGCCCCTTTTTAGTAAGTCAGTCAGCCAGCTATGCTTTCCTGAATCCCAGAAACCTATGGTCCATCCAGATGTTTTCTTGGAAATCAGGGATAAGCCAATGATGCTTAGCAATTAGCTTTTCTTAATATGGAATGTTTTCTCTAAAAGGGCATTGATAGTGTTATTAATGGGTGACTGTAGTAGTGCTGATTAATACTTCGTCTTCTTTAGTTCTTGAAGCAGAGTTGAAAAGGAACTCTGTGGGAAACTGATATAGGGTTTAAGCCTCGGACTGACCTGCTGGCAAAGTCACAAACAAGTCCAGCTTAGAGGGCACAGTCCTCTTAGCATAATTAGGCTTGACCTTATAACACTCCCTAGATCTCATCTGGGAATCTAATGGGCTGAGGAAGTGCAGGAAGTATAACCATGGTGTAAACAAGTGAAACTCACAAGAAAAGTGTAACTTTGGTAACCACTACCTTGTTTACCCCTCACTATAAAAAGCTTGGTGAGGCCTGAGCACAGTGGAAGTCCTTCCTCTTGAGTTGGACTTGCCGCCTGGTCCCCCAATATTCCCAAATTATCTCCTGTCCTTTCTTTTTCATTTGTTGTGCAGCTCCTCTTCCAGACCCGAACCCTGAACCACGCAGGACGTGGAGGGAAACACTTACGACAGAACTCCTACTAAGGATTTTAGTAGGTGGCAGATAAATATTTGTTCTCAATCCATCATATTTAACAGGAAGTCTGCAAATATATTTTGAATCTCCAGTTCAAATAAGACATTGAAGAAAAACTAGATGTACAGGAGACAGCCAAAACCTGGGGGACTTATAATTTAGTAGGGCAATGAGGTGCGGGCTGAGAACACTTCAGTGTCAGGCGGAGTGTGGTAAGTCACAGGCTGGCCTACATAAAGGTTGTAGGAATGCAGGGGGCAGGGTTATTTCCATCGGGAGCATCAGGGGTTTATAGGAAGGTTAGGGCTTGATATGTGCAAAAAGGATAAGAGACTTTCTAGGAACTCAATGGCATGGGCAGAGCACTCAAGTGAGGGACTGGGAACAGAGACTTCACATGATGGAGAGGAAATAAGCCAACAGGAGGGTTACTAGGGTTACATGCAGAGAGCTTAGGGTGCCAGGGTGAGAGCCCCAGGCTTTATTAGTAGGCCTGGGGAGGAACTACAGGTGTTTAAGTCTCCTTCAGGGAGGTGAGTGGTAATGAACTAGACGGCAGGTAGGAGAGACTGGAAGCTGGCAGACCATGCAGTAGGTGACTACAAAACCCCACACCACCCACTGCCACGTGAGGGGAAGACAGCAGATTCTTTGTCATTATAGCTGCACTTTCTGATGAGGTCTATGCTTTAAGTACGTAACTTGGCCCTTTGAGGAAAAACTCACTCTCCTATAAAAGGGACATATTTATTATGACGACACAGAAGACATTATATACAAAGTACAACCTTCCAACACCCTGAAATACATTCATGCACACATAGTACATACATTTACATTATCAATATAAAAACACAACATTAACATCCCTGAGGACGACAAATATAAAACCAATAAATATCACAATTCTAAAATATCTACTTACATTAAGTGCTGGTGACTACTATGACAGTAAAAGAAAGAGTCAAAGCAGACCAAAAACCAATTACATAGGTTCAGGTTACAGACAAGTTGGTTTGGGGGAGGTATCCCAATACGCTCCATATATTTCTTAATTTCCCCGTTTGACGTCATCAACTCTCAAAAGGAAGAGTTTGCTATTATGCCACTATTTTTTGTGTGCATATGCAGACTCTTCAACCATATTTATGATAAAGGAATGTCAATAATAAGATTCACTTAAACTCAAAGCCTCTCCAGCCTAACCTTCTATAATTCCAGGCAGAATGCTTCCATCCCATACTCATCCCTTTTATCCTGTGTTCAATTTTTTCCTTCTTGTCAGTAAGTAGAATTGCATGGATGGTCAAATGGCACAAATGAGAGAAAAATCCAACATTAATTCTAGCTGGGAAACAAGGCACATGTTATGGTTAACGGAACAACTATTAAAGTGAATAGTGCCGCGCCCTTGCACAGGCTCAGGGCCAAAAACCTGACCACGATTTTCCTTGTATCAAAACACTATCATACTACTGTCACATGGATGTTCTTTTCATAAAGTTCAGGACACTCCGTGTATTTTTCAAAACGTTAGAGGCTTGTAAGACAAAATATGGAGAACATGTGTAGTCACTACAACGCATAAGCTAGATTTTCAGGTTTTAACAGAGACACATAATTGGCAAACACTCCATAAGAGTTATATTTAAGTCAGGAAATTCTCTTTTCCTTTCATGTGTGTTCCTGTCCTATGGGTGATATGTGCTGTGAGAGGGGGGCAGGGGGGAACACTGCCATCATTGCACAGCACGCACAATCCTGTAAGGTCAATCAGAGTTTCTAGTTGTTAATCAAATCAAACTCCTACAGTCAACCCCCTCTTCCTATCTTCAGGCCATACTGTCTCACTTGAATCTGTAACAGCTTAACTAGAACTCAAAAGTCCTTTCTGTCACCTTTAAATTGGTCTTGAGGTCTAATGCAACTGTGCACGGCCTTTCACTACACAAACTACTCCCAAGAGGGACTTGATATGCAAGGATCCCCTTCTCTGGAGTCAGCATGGATGGTGGGAGCTAGGAGGTGGGGAATGGGAGGCTTAGGGTATGGGACTACCATGAGAGGTGTAGAATTTTAAAAGCAGGCATCATTTCTAGAAGATTCTGGTTTCTCCAGCTGGGGATTCTTAGAACCTAGTATACACTGGAGAGTTCACAGGTTAACCTGCATGGTCTGGTCCAGAATCTAATTGGTCTCTGGGCTCCTTGCATCATAAATACTCCCTAAGAGATCAAGTACAACTCATGCAATCTCTGTCACAATGGGCTTTGCCATCACTGAATCAAATCAACTGTAAGATCCTGGGGCTCCTGAATCACTTCCAGAAACAAGAAAGCAGGACTTTGACCTTTAAGGATGATATGCCCTCTGGTGTTACCAACATCTGAGATGGAGATGGTCAAAGTCTGGAAGCAGACTGAATAACTGCATTGACCATTGGGTGGAACAGATTCTTCTCTTGCTGCCGAATGTCCTCAAAGCGCAGAGTACCAGGAGCAGGGGAGAGGGTCAGCCCTGGAGGAGCACCCTCCAGCCTCTCGCCAGGAAGCAGTGAGGTGCGCATCATCAGAGCTGCACTGGGAGTGGAGCGTGGTTCCAGCCCCCGGGACATCCTGTCCACAGCTGGGCTACTTCTTGGGTTTCTCTAGAATGTTGAGGAATTTCCCCCGTGTCATTTCTCTGGCTGAAATAAAGAAGCAAATGAAGGATCAATGAAGAGCTAAAATCTGAAGAAAGGATCATAGGAAGATTTAATTTAAAAACACAGAATTAAATTGTAAACGGGACCACAACAGAGTCAATCACCACAAACCTTCAAAAAGAGGGAGAAACAAACCACTCCTGGCAACTAAAACTGTAGAGTTGCTCTGAAGTCGGTAATTGCTATAGGGCACAGGCCAACCAGGGAAAACATCATCCATCAACCCTTATAAAAATCATCATGGAATTCCCCCAAAACCTCTCTCTCTAAAGAATATAACCTACTACTCACATTCACTACCACAGGGGTTTGCTCTTGGAGGCTAAAATCCAACCAAGATAACAGTCTTCTGTGGGTTGCTGGTTTCTGGACATTTATAATCTCAAATCAGAATTAGAGACCATTTACCCCGTCCCTCAGTGGCAGTCCCTGGATACTGTAATATAACAGGGTTTATAGTCCCTCAGTGCAGTTCATCTGTGGATGGAGTAATAAAGTAGAGTTTATAGAACTTCGGTCTTCTCTCTCTTGGTATTGTCAGTCCTTAGATATTTAATACAGTCAGGCAAGGTTTATGTGTCTTTCTCTGACTTTCAGTACCATCAATCTTTGAATGCTGTAGTTACAAGGGGGTTTATATAGCTACTTTCCTACAGATGAGGCTCTGAAATGAAAGTAAAACATTTCTCAATTACAAGGGTCACTGCAGAAGCCCCCGTTTTAGCTGTCAAGCAAATCCTCAAAAATCGTATGAAGCCTAAACGCCCTTCATCCTCATCCCCACAAGATCATCTTTTCAGATCCCTTAAGTGGATTTAACATGCTGAAAGTTTCCGATGGCTTGCCCGGAGGCTGGAAGTCCTCTGGAATCAAGCAGTGCGCACACAGCAGGCTGTGCCCTGTGGCCTCCCAAGAACATGTCTCTATCTTGGCCGAAAAGTGAGGTGGCCAGGGAGGCTCCTGCCGAGATGAGAAGGACCTTTACTCTGACCTCCTCCTGCCTTTCTCAAGCCCAGAGCAAATGGTGCCAAGTGAATGGCTCCCATTCTCCCCACCTAAATCTAAGTTCCTGGTTAATATGTACAGTGAAGAAGTAAAACAACACAAACTCTGTAACCACAAGAAGGCTTCTGGTAACTGCGGTCTATATATATTCCCCATCTTTCATAAGTTCTTGAGCTCCAACAAAGAGAAAGGAAATCCCATTAAGTAGGAATGGAAGTCTCAGTGCGGGTCTGGTCTCATGTGCCCACAGCCCCTTCCTGTCTCAAAGCAAACTGACCGATCCTTCCTTGGTGGATTTATACCAACCCTCTACATACAAAGTTCCTATCAGATCTGCAATTACTTGTTTATATACTTGTTTTCCTCTGCTGAAGTATAAAAATAGAGGGCAGAGACTGTTTTATTATTCTTTATTCCACCAGCACCTAGCACAGTGCTAGACCTAGCTAGCATCTGCTGAAAAACGTGGGCTGGATGAATGATGATATACCAAAGAGCCAGAACCAAGTAGGACAACAACCAAGTTAGTTTCTTCCCTTCCACAGGCAAACAGTAAGACTTGTTAGTGGCCCTTGGTGCTCCATTTTCTATATTGTGGGGTTCTTTTTAAATTTACCTTGCTTGTTTAGCAAGAAAAATAATTTCCCTTGATGGAAACAATGCAGATTAATGGAGAGATGGAGGTGGGGTGGCGAGGACAGACAAGGACTAACTATCCTAGAGGAAATGGGGCCAGTGGAGTACTTGAAACAGCAGGGGGGAGGGGGGGAGGTAAGTGCATGAGTCCACTCTGTAAAATTTTCTAACCACTTTGCTGTACATCTGAAACTAATACAGAATAATCTTTAGCATGACTTCTTTCAGAGAACACAGGATTAGAACGCAGTTTAAGTTCCAGCTCTAGCAGCTGGGTGACACCAGGAGCTGGGTAGGAACCTCAGTTTCTTTATCTGTAAAATGAGTACATATTAATGTCACTTGCCCTGGCCTCTTGGCTATCCAGCAGTGAACTTGCTTGGTATAGTGGTATCACTAATACAACACCTTTCAGAGGAGGGTAAGTAGCCTGCTGCTTCTCTGGCACTATTTCCTGAGTGAATAGATGAATTAACTGTGATAAGGGATAGTAGTAATCTCAAAAATTCCACTCCTTGGGATCTTTCCCTCAGCCAGATCCTATATATATTGACTTATACTTTGGCCTGAGTGGGTCTCATCACTTTTTTCTGCCTACTCTCAGGTATTTACTAAAGACCTAAAGCAAAGCATCAAACGATCCTGCAACCTGGCTAGAAGCAGGTGCTCTGGAAACCAGACATGGTTAACACAAAACTCTGTTGGGTAAACAGAACCTTGTTCCTCCAATTCGGGGTCAGGAGCACTCTACTGACATCACTAATTATTTCTGCCTGCTGCCCTTCAGATTCCCCAATTCTTTATTATTTTTTCTCCAAATGGGAAAATGACCAAGATTTTAAGACTTAAAATTTAAAAAGATCCAATCTAGTCAAGGGATCAAAAGGATTTAACAGAAAAATAAATGGATATTCCAAAGTCTCTCAGTGGCAAGCTCTCCTTGAATTTAACCAATCCCTTTTAACAACCCCTTTCCCACTCAATCATTCCTCCCCCTCCAACCTAATCTAAGTACACAGAGCTGCAGGAAACCACAGTAAAAGTAGAAGTAATTCAAAAGACATCATCTTCTACATGGGAGGGGAGAAAGTTTTCCCACTCGCCAGTCCTATATAGGAGATATACGAATTTGTGACATAGCTGCTCCCTAAAAGAGGGCTGTGCCCTATAAATCACATCCTAAGCACCAGCCCCTTTCTGTGCACAGAGAAATTGCTGTGGGTCAGGGGCTGCTCCAGAGCACGTGCCCTCCTGTTCACTTGTCATCAGAGATGTTAACATCTCTGATTAATTCACATAGCCCTTATTTGATTCCTCATTTCTTTATCCTTGCTCTCCTGCTCTGCTGCAGTGTGAAGATTCTTACCAACCTGATACAGTAATCACCGCCTGCTAACTGCACCCCCCAAACCTAGTGAAATTGTTTAGTGATGCCAACCGCGCTTTTAATTTGCAAGACATCAGACACAGAGGTAATTTATACCAACATCTGTTCATTTTTGACTTTTGAAACAAACTTGCACATGCTGCTACAAAATCCCATGAGGAGTAGGGAGACAGCCTTCTGCTACTATTCCATATTCTTCTACACACACACACACACACACACACACACACACACACACACACACACACCTACCTTCCAGTAGGGTTCAATATTTAAATGCACTTTACTAAAATATTTCCGCAAAGCATTTCACGTCTCTTTAGGGGGAAAACTTTAGAGATGTCTATGGTTTGCTTACAGAGGAGAGGAAGATATTTCTATTTCCCTCTGACTAGTGCCATCCCTTCTTCTTCTCAATAGTTACAGCTTGGTCTAATTCTCTAGTTAATGACCAGGTAAGAGTACATGCTTCTTAGCTTGGCATGTTCAATGCTTCCTTTCTCTCCTAGTCCTTTTTTCCTACAGTGTGCTACAAGACAACCCAAGAGACAACAAAATTGCTAGAGAGAGTTTTCTCTAGACTCAATAAAATTTCTTAACAATTTTCTAATTCTGGATTAATTCTCTAGGATTACAAGTTTAGCAGGAAGGGAACACGCTACCACATTCTAATAACTATGCCAGGAGGGATCCACTGATCACCAGCCACCACAGTGTGTGCTGTGTAGGAGAGAGGCATGACCTCTGTGTGGTCATGATTTACTATGGGCTCTCCTATGCAGTACAAGACCATAAACTGAGAAAGCCACAATAGAGACGGTCGCCATAGGGGGAACATGTGAATTGCTGCAGAGTGTGGGAGAGGGAACCACTTGTACACATTTACAGGCGGCAAATGGATACACCACAATCAACTTCCAGGTTTATGCGGTTTCCATTATCCCCTTCGAGTTTTCCTAGGACTGTCAGGTTCATGGCAGCTGTAAATACCTGGGCATGCTCAGAGAGGTCAGGGCTGAAGGGAGGACTGCATCCTCCTTGCTGGGAAGGTGCTGTGTGGTTTAATATAATGTCTTCTTTAGACTCCCCAATCCTCCATCCTACATTTAGCCTTGCCTCTGGCTCCCTTTCCACGATGACTATCCCCAAACTGCCTTCTCTGCAGTAAATTTTCTGGTGGCTGGTTGAAAGAGAGTCAGTGGCACAGATTGATTTCTCGCCGGTGAGGGGATGAGGGATTACCAGAGGCACCCTGGTTAACGAGATTGGGTGCGAATCTCTCACGAGACCAGCCCTCTCTGCCAGGGCTTTGCACCTTTCACCCATGACATATGGGTTTCATTACAGAAAGATTTTCCAGATTATAACTTTGAGGCAATTGCCTGATAAAATTCTGCTTGGCTTTAATGTAGGGAACAATGTAAAGAATAAGTAACTTTTAATGAAATGGAAGAAACTCATAATGTTTGGTTTTCAATTCCAATGCCAACTACTTTAAGTACTTCTGTGCCTCAATATAATTAAAAACATTATGGAGGTGGAGAAGAGTTACATTCCACTAGTTCGCTCACATCCTGGAGAGCAACAACAGGCTGTCTTTAGGAGACTCTGATATGAATGGCCAGGGAACAAAGGAGACAGCATAACTGTGAAGAGAGCAGGGCTTTTAGCATTAGACAGGCTTAGACTTGAACCCATGGACCCTGCTACTTAACAGCTCCTACACTAACTACTACCCAGGGCAAGTCACCCAAGTCATCCTTTGTTCAAGGTGGGGTTAATACAAAGGTCACACGGGCATTCAGTAAATGGTAGCTACTGTATAATCATCTCTTTCATTTTAAACAAGTTTATGTAAGCCACAAGACACTTGATGGGAAAACTATCTAGGATTCATTTTTTAAAAATATTTTTTTATTGATTTCAGACAGGAAGGAAGAGGGAGAGATTGAAA